CCTCTCCTTCGTGCACAAATAATGGCTTTTGCTTTGGTGTGTTTATGAAAACGATGAGCCGCCAAGAAGAGCTGGCTTTACCGTGCCTAAAGCCCATCCCCAATCTCCTCAAAATGATTTTGTTTTCTTTCTTTTTCTCCCTCACTCTCACTTCATTGCTTTCTCCCTGTTTTTTGGGGGTGGGCGGTGGAAGGGGTGGAGAAGACAGTTATTAATTGTTGGTCCCTTGAAAGATGAGAAGGTTTTGAGCAGAAGGAGCGGAGAGCCTTCGCAGAGAGGCCCATTTACCGCTCTCTCATAATGCCTTCCTGAGGTCAGCCATCGATTTGCTTAAACCGCATGCTACACTGATAAGATTAGGCCTTTCGATTCCTGAACTACTTGAGTCATCCAGATGAAGTCACTTTGGGTTGGACAGCAGACCGAATAGCTCTCTTTTCATTAGGTCATGGCCTCTCTGATAACAGGTTGACTTTGCTGCTGCTCTCTGTCTCTCTCTCTTTCTCTCTTCCTTGCTTTCTTTCTCTGGCCATGCTAAGGATATGAAACTTTCTTATAATGGCCAAAACGGTCATAGTTTTCTGCTGTTCTGGGCTGCTTCTGCTTTAAGCTAGAAGGCCAAACCCCCTGTTGATGAACAGATGTAGGACTGAGGGACAGGGACTCCATTAACACACATTGAAATCAGGTCCACTACATGGCCAAAAGAATGTGGACGTCCCTCCTAATTATTGAGTTCAGATATTCAATTAAATGCTTCCAACTTTGTGGCAACAGTTTGCCTTACCTATTTTAGCATGACTCTGCCCCTGTGGATAAAGCACGGCCCATTAAGACATGGTTTGACGAGTTTTGTGTGTAGAAACTCCAATGCCCTGCACAGAGCCCTGACCTCAACCCCACTGAAAACCTTTGGGATGAACTGGAATGCTGATTGTGAGCCAGGCCTTCTCATCCAACATCAGTGTCTGACCTCACAAATGCTCTTTTGACTGAATGGGCACAAATTCCCACAGACATACTCCAAAATCCTGTGGAAAGCTTTCCCAGAAGAGTGGAGGCCAACTCCATATTAATGTTCATGGTTTTGGAATTCAATGTCCAACAAGCTCATATAGGTGTCATAGTAAGGTGTCCACATACTTATGGCAACATAGTGTATTATATTGATTGACTTTTTATTAAACCTACTAGAAATTAGTGTATTTCTTTAAAACACTAAAAATTAATTACAATTCAAATAAATATTACCCCAAGCAATCCTGCTGTTTACTGTGCAGATTATAACTGTATAACCTGGTGTTTGCTTTGCAGGGAGCCTGTTGCTGTAGGCTACTTACTTTCCTCTGTGATTTTTAAAGTCATTTATTTGATTTATCAAAATTTGAAAGGTTTCATTGAGCATTACATCATATCATTAAAACCATTAAGCATCCCTATGCATCACTATAAACAAAATGGCACTTATCATTTGAAGCAGTATTAGGATATGTGTGCATTTTCTATGACAAAACACAGCTATTCATCTGAAAAATAAGCTTTTGCTGAACACATGACTGTCATTATTACTGAAAGGGAGAGAAGATGAATATGTTAAAAAGATGGAGAGAGAAGTGAAATGAAAACAGAAAGTGGATCACATGAAAGTTGGGGAGGAAGGAGTAGAGCTTTGCTGATTTTCCATTAAAAAAATCAATATTACCTTCTAATAGAAGGTACAGGGTGTCGTGTACTAGCATAAGAAATATTAAATATTATTATATTGTTAATCTTGCACTGCCTGACAGTGATGACGGTATGAGGGATTTTTTTCTTAAAAAGCCACATGGAAGTGATACTCAGACTAAAACTTAATTCTCACACACATAGCTTTACAAGCTCGAAGGGAAGCATGCTGTCACTGGCCAGCGAGTGGTAACCCATGATTTCCCTTGTGGACGAAGGAAGGTTTGGAAACATGAGAGTAGCACACTCACACATGTGCATACATTGTTTTCAGTTAATGTTTGCCCTAATTTGTTTGTTGAAATTCATGTGAAAATGAGCGTCTCTTGGCAGATGGTAACTTTTCTCTATGAAAGAAAAGCAAAGTTTGTTTAACTCCACTAAAATGTTTACAGATTAAAAGCCATTCTGGCTTATGGCAGTGTGTTTACTCCAGACTTCACTCAAATAACTTTAAAGCGGATATATTTTGTTTCTACATTTCACATCGCTTTTCCCAAGGTACTGAAGTCTATGTTCGGTGTGCTTATTCTAAAAACATGCCACTCTGGGGAACCCTCGCATGTGATTCCAGGAGTTTGATTGGCTGGCAATTAATTGTAAACAAATTTCAAATAACTGATTATTCAATCAGTATTCCACATGGTTGAAAATGAGATTGAGATAGACTCAGATGTCTTGATTTAATTTTCCATTTCAGACATTGCTGTGGCTGAATAGTCATGAGGTTTTCAGTAGGTGTGGGTTGCCCTCTAGCTGTCAGTTATGAAATATTATGAAATATCAGTGGGTTGTAATCTTCTCCATAAGATATCTCACATGTTTCACAAAAGACTTTTTGGAGCTCTAGAAGTCATGTTGTTTCTTGTCAGTTTATTGATGGTAATTAAGGAATATAATCATCAATCAAACTGTAATAGGCATCAGCATTGGGCATGTACAAAGTAATGTCCAGCTTAACTCTATGATATTCAAAGCTGACCATCATGTATACTACGGGTGTTTAACGGCAGCCCTGGAGGTCCACAGTTTGGTAATTCCCCTACACTCTTAAAATGAAGGTGTCTAAAATGGTTCTTTAGAGTGATGCCATAAGAGAACCACATTCGGTTCCATAAAAAATAACTTTCAATGCATGGTTTACATTTTGTCAAGTTTTAAAGTTTAGAGAACCTGCACATAATTTAGTTCTAGGATGAACCCACAAATTTGTATAAAACCCTGACATTATGTGAAGGTTCTTTAAACCTTAAAAGGATTCTTAACATCCACACGTGGCTCTTTGAAGAACCAAAAGTCTTTCTTCTGTGGCAGAGCTAAAAAGACGCTTTATTTTTAAAGCACTTAACAGATGCGTTGAATCTGATATGTTTGAGCATAGAAATCGCCAAACTTTGCTGAACACCAGCCCTCCAGGTCCAGAGTTGTGCACCCCTGATATAGACTACGCAGCTTAATGAGACGCACTATTGTTCTAACATTGGGGGGAAAGAACATGTGTTCTGGTCTATTACAGAGGCCTTTTTAATGCAGAACTGTGTGCTTTATTGACATCAAATGTAATTCATCTTGAGTTGATTGCAGCAAAAGCTCTGTTTATGAAGCACATAGCAACACAGTTTTGGATGAAAATGACCTCTTTAAATGGCAATTAGTGAAAAAACAAACCTATGGTCCAGATGTTTTTGTATGGTATGTTGTGTCTGTATAGAGTCGTAACCTTGCGGTACCTCACTGTAATAGAAAGTGACATTTATCAAAGAAGTTCAGCAACTTTGGTGTTTTTAAACGAGGTTCATGGATATCGTCATAGCTGCCTGAATGTGAGGCTTCAATTAGGGTGCTGTAGTGCTGTGAGAGCAGAGGGTTTTGGAGGCCTCTCTGGACAAATAACAAGCCATCGCGTAAAGACAGCATTTTTGCATCCTGCCAAATTGCTAAACTACAAGATTTTAGTCCCAAAATAGTGTGATTGGATTAATAGCAGGAAATTGCCCTTGGAACATTAAGTGAAATTGTTACATTTTTTTGGTGCCACTGCAAAGCACAAGAACAGCCGTGCTCTTTTCTCAGGGTTGTTTCCACTTAAGAAAATCATTTTCAAAGAATTTACAGTGCTGTGCTGGGAATGGCAGTCGGGCAGCTGCTCGAGCCAAAGCAGCCGGCCGTGTGTGAGAGTGGCTCGTTTCAGATAAACGTGCCACACATTACTCTGGCCTGCCTCATTTTGCTGTGCTAAATGGCCTGAACAAGGGCAATAAGGAGACATTAAGCCAAGCGCTGAAATCTGACTACAGAGGAGATCGTTTTCAGCGGCATTCTTCTCTGCACTCTCACTGTGTGTGTGAACCATAGTGCCTACCAGTATCTATCCATCATACCAACCTCCAAGACTGGCTAGTTTTCTAATATCATTAGATTTAATCTCAGTTATGTCATTTACCCCCGTCACACACATGCACACCCACCCACGTACTCACACTTATTCATGGTTTTTGTGCTACTGATTGCTATTGGATATTGGATTAGTCATTGTGTTCCTATCATAGTCTTCACTTTCCCATCGTGCTTTGCTGACACGTGGGCTGCATTAAGCCTGGTTTAAGACTGGCAGAGAGAGGGTGAACTAGCGTTATGCAATTTCCTCTGCTTCTCTCGCTTCACTGCATTTGTGCTGGTGTGAGAGCTGGAGGAAGGGGGTGAGGAGGTCATTCAGTTTGGCACTCGTTTCTGACACCATCAATGTTACAGTCTTTAGGTGCAATTCACGGCTGATTATACTGTTCAAAAGCTTGGACTCACTTAACCAAAACCATATCATTTTGTTAAGTACAATCTAAAAACTTGTGCAGTGTAAATTTAAACTAACGGTTTTCGGTAACAGCAAAATCTCATCGTCTGTGCATTTTCTTCAGTCCAGTAGAAAGAGCATCTCATGTGGCTCCTCGTGAAGAAAGATTTAAAGAATGCTAAGAATATGCAAAACTGCATCAAGACAAGCAGGGGCAATTTACAAAATAATCCAAAAATTGAAGTTAGTTTGATTTATTTGCCCTCTGTGTTTATTTGGCCTCTGTGCTTTCATAGTTTTGATGTCTTCACTGTTTTTCTAAAATGTGGAAAACAGTAAAGCTGATAAAACCCTTCTATGAGTAGATGTGTCCAAACTGGTACTGAATATTGTTAAAAACATTTTTCCCAAACTTTTAAACATGTGTACGTGTGTCACTGAATCTGTTGTTTTCTTTTTTTTCTCTCTTGTATCTTTCCTGTAGGGGGATCAGGGAAGCATAAATCCAAAGACAAGAAGAAGTCCGGCAAACAGAGGCTGCGCTTCCGGGCTCAGAACCAGCACAGCGATCACTTGGCCTCACTGAGGGCGAGCCAGTAAAGACTGAGAAATCTCCCAGAAGAAAGATCAGAAAGCTGCTAGCCGCTGCTCAACACACACTAACCTTACACACACAAATATAGTTCCTCACCCTCATGCTGTGCACATACACACATACGCTGTCTCTTTGTGCCTCCTGCTGCTTCCCCTCGTGCCGGTAACACGTGCCCCAACCCGAAAACCCTTCTTGACATCATAGAACTGTACAGCAGCTGTGCCCACCTAGTCTGAGGAGAAAGACAAGGAGAAACAGAGCTGAAAGAGGAGAGAAGGGGAGTCATGGACATTAAGGTTGGAGGATAAGCTGAGATTAAAAGAGCAGGCACCCCAACGAACGGATGAAGAGTGCATCCAGTAACAGTGACTAATGCTAATGTTGTGAGAGACAGAGAGAGAGAGAGAGAGAGAGAGAAAGAGAGAGACTTGTCTGTATTTATGTAAAATTACATGACCATCGAAGGAGGCAGAGTATGCCATGTATTGCCTTTTCTTTTGGCTCTGTACATTTTTGAGAGTACTCCAATACAATGCATAGTTGCATTATTCTCGGCACAAGATGTTTACGTCCGGACCGCTTTATTGCTCTAACTGTATATTGTGGATAACGAAGAATTTAGTTGTTCAACTAGCATGGCCACAAGCTCATGTGTACATAGTTGGTGAGTTTATCTAATGATAATATTAAAATAAAAAAGTTACTGTATTTTCAGTATTGACTCCTTCACCGTTAAATGTGTTAGAGAAAAAGGTTATGATACCAGCTACAGATTAAAAAAAAAAAAGAACAAAAAAATAAATAACAATAAATAAAACATAGCCTTCACATAGCTATTACATTTATATGGTATATATTTGATTTATTTATTGATTCAATTTTGTACTTTTGTGTTTGGTGACAATTTTTGTCTCTGTATCTGTTACACCTCTGTGCTGAAATATTCTTTGAATCACTTATAACAATACAACTATCTCCACCAGTGGAAGCAGTTTGTGTCTGATATGTCTAATAACTGTTCTTCAGAAGAACTTCCCCTGCTTTAAGCTTTAAGCTGACCCATTACAGAGCAGCTGAACTATTATAGGCAATGGAATGACAATGTATATATGATGTTCTATTAAAAATGCAATTCATGTCGCCTATGTGATACTGTTTTGTATGTTTGTCACATGAAAGCAATTCACCATCTTCTATATATGATCCCTGAACATCTCATTATGTTTAGCTTATGGCCGGGCGGTCCAGTCTTATCCACAAAGGGCCGATGTGGCTGTAGGTCCATATCTTTACTGAAAAACAAGGGTTTTGAACAATCAAGATCACTGACATATAAAAACTAGTGAAACCCCCTTTATTGACCAAACACTTTAGCCACTGATCAGGTCTGTGCAGCAGGTTGGAGCCATTTTGGCCCATTCTTCTATACAAAACTGTTTCAGTTCATGTGTATACTATTTGTTCAAAAAACATGTAAATATTGTGATGTTCAAGGCAGGGAAGCATGACACCCGTGCACAGACTGTTTATTAGGAATAATCTAATAGGAACAGTCAAAGTTCAGAGCAGGGGTCAAGGCACAGGCAGCAGACACAGCTAATAGAGGCATGTCAAAAATGAGAGTCTAAAGACAAGCAGAGGAAATCAGAACTGGAAAATAAAGCAGCAGGAATGTTTAGAAACGCTTCAAAATTCTAGGTTGTGTATACAGAAACGTGCAATATAACCATATAATCAGACCAATTATGAAAATTAGCCACAGGTGATAGTGATGATGAGGGGGCAGAGATGGAATGTTCCAAAACACTACCCCAAGGAGGAGGGATCCTATGTTGCGTGTTTTACATACATTTATTGTTAAGATCAGATAACATTTGAGATATTCATGCAGAGCGTTTGGTCTTTCCAAAGAGTTCACAAACTGTTCTTCAGCTGTATGTTAAAAAGGCTCTTAATTGCTTAGTGTGATGTTCTTCAATTTGGGCTGTAAGTATTTCTGTCATGGATCCATGACTTGTTTCCAAAGTTTGGAAAGAAAAAACCTAAATAGTCTAAATTATTTCCTCACCAAAAACTCACTGTTGTCCCTAAATGCTGCCCATACAAACCTTTTCATGCTGTATGACTGTCTGTTTATGTCTACTGTTAGCTTCTCCAAGAATATCAACAGAAATTAATAAGCACATTCCCTGTCTGTAAGTGCCAGATTTCCAGAACAGGCTAATATCAGTCATGGCCAATTAAACCAGCATGAGGTACCGTATAATCACTGCGTACTAAAAAGAAATAAAATGCGAAGCCTGATCTGCCAGACAGCTTTCAGATGCACAGTAGCAAATTAATCAGTGTCACATATATCAAATTCAGACAGTTTAACCACAGCCGTCCAGCTTCTGCTAAACCTGTGAAGTCACACACAGAATTTCCAGAGGAAAATGAAGAGACAGAGACAGAAAGAGAGAGAGAGAGAGAGAGAGAGAGAGAGAGAGAGAGAGAGAGAGAGAGAGAGAGAGAGAAAGAAAAAGTCAGGTGGATTGTATGTCAGGTAGAGCTAATGTGGGCCTTAACACTCACCCAGCTGCCAGACCATGGAGAAGACGACAGAAGAGTTTTTTTTACAGCTTTAAAGGAAATACAGGTACCTTAAAAGCTGAATAAATATGAACAAATAGTACAGAAGTTAACCCTTACAGTTTTACAAAATGTAAGTTGTTTAATAATTTAATGGTTCTTTAAAGTTTAATAACATTCTTCACATTCACACATCTTGTTTCCAAAATTGGTCCATTATGGTACCAAAAATGGTGCCTCTATGGCAGTGGTTCTCAAACTGGTCATCAGGGACCCCCGGGCACTCCACATTTTTAATCCATCCCCATGTGTTGCAAGTGAGGTCAGAGTAAAAATCTGGACCATCTAGGGGGTCCCTGGTGACCAATTTGAGGACTACCACTCTATGGCATCACACAAAGAACCCTTTTTGACAGCTTTATTTTTAAGAGTTTGGAAAGTTTGGAATCTGCACCATGCTTTTATTATAACAGTTAATTAATGGTAGTCAATATTAGTAGTAATTAAGTGAACTTTTCCCCCATAAACCTTTAAAGATAACTGGGCTTCTTGGTGTTTTTTTTTTCCAAAATCACACAGTGTTAAAAAGCACATGACTCTCGTAATGAGGATTAGCACTAAAGGTGGTTGACACACTTTCTAGTCACAATGTCATGTTAGATTTTACATGATGCTGAAACACAAACACACCAGAGTAAGACTATACAGTAATGTGTGCCTTTTTCCAAATCTTTGAAGCCGGAGTGAGGTCCATAAAAGCAGCTGTGTAGTGAATGTATATGTAAACTTATTAACTGTGTTTAAAGAGCCATCTGTTGTGGGTTACGAGTTAATGAACTACTCACAGATGTCATCTCACAGTGCCAGACTGTCAGTGCACTGGAGTAGGGGATTAACTTGTAAAGAGACGTGCAGTGAAGTGGAGTGAATTCATTTAAGGCAAGATCACCACATTGGCACTGTAAATTTTGGAAACTGAACAAAATATTAATGAATTTTAGTCTCCTATACAGCTACTCATTATAAATCTAGTCTCCTTACTCCCCGTGAAGTGTCCCATGAAGATTTTGGTCCCATTACTCTCACTATTAGTTTGGGGATTCCAAATTGGCTGACAACTGCATAAACTTTGTCATGCTGCCTTTGTTTTAAGTTGTACTTAAAAGAATGGTTCACTGAAAAAGCCGATTTACATAGTTTTCCCCTCAGCCAAGACACATTAGTGTCCAAAGTTTGCATCTTGAGTTTTGCACTGAAGTGATGAGGCTAATGTAACTGATCAGTCATCTGTATAACCTAAAATCTTTTTAGTGACATAGACATATATTACATTTGCCCTGTAGCTCCAGTGCAAAACTGTCTGACCGAATGCTTTTGGGAAGTCATTCTGTGAGAGGGTCTTCCCTGCATGTATTTATGTTAAAAAAAAGTATCTGCTTCAAACATCTCCAAGCCTGAAGTGGCCTTTCTACATTAGATGTGATGGATTTTCCTTAGCTTTCAATCTAGAATCGGGATAGTTTTTATCGATCAAGTAAAATGTCACAAGGAATTTGTCTCAGCAGTAGCTCACATTGAGGTAAACAAGTAATTAATCAAAATATAAGAGAAAAGTGGAATATACAGTTCTTTACAAAAGTTTTAGGCATCTGAGAAAATTATAGGTAAAGCCATTTATATGGGCTGTAGGTATTTACTTGTTCAAGAAGACTGCCATTAGAATAAACACAAATAAACAAGTTAACAATGTATTGTGATTTGGTGTATGTCAGTGGAGTGTTGGCTTAATCATTTCCAAAGTTCTCTTCAAGAAAGTCCAGTATTTATAGTTACCATCCAATACCTGCTTTGACGAATGAATCCTTCATTGAAATAAATCCAGTGTGCTGTTGACACAATCCATGCAATAGCTGGAGCTCACAGAGAAGTCAGGAGCCGAATCTAACTGTATTCTTCTAACCAACATATTAAAACCTTTTAAAACACAAAAACATGGCTATTTTTACTGTATTTATGTTTGCTTATGTTTGTTTGCATTTACTGTAATGTTATAAAGTGTTTTACTGGCAAAAACATACAGCCAAGATAAATAGTTGTAAACAATTTTCATGGCTGCCCATTATATCTAATCTAGTGTAATCTCTCTCTCTCTCTCTCTCTCTCTCTCTCTCTCTCTCTCTCTCTCTCGTGAGACAGAGCAGAATAAATGGGCACTTATTAAGATCTGTCAGTATATCACTTCTGTCCGCACATCAGAAGCTTGTGTTCCCCATTTCCTGCTGCCATCTCCCAATACTCTTTTCATCAGAAAACCACCACTGTAAACTATGTGGCTGCTTAAAGGCAATGGATCATACAAAGGTTCTCTGCGCTTTTGCCTTTTTCTATGTGTGTGTGTGTGTGTGTGTGTGTGTGTGTGTGTGTGTGTGTTTGGTGGGAGGCCTTGGTCGAAAGCCTCCTTTAATCTGACAGAGTGCATTTTCATTAGCTCAATTCAGTTCTATTATTATGGCACGCATCAAAGGCTGAACAAGTGAAACCACAAACAGGAAGCACTGTTTGTGAGGCCTGAGCAGCAGTGGGCCATGCTCTCAGCTCTGTGTGTGTATGTGTGCGTTTGTGTGCTCTCTAGCACCATCAGGCCATCACACGCCACGCTTACTGAGTGAGTGACAAATTCGTTCCAAAGCAGATGGCAGGGATGGAAGTTATGACATCGTTGGGTTAATAACTTTGGCCGGGATAATAAATGTTAAAATAATTTGCTGATTTCAATAACTATATAATAGGGCATCAGTGGCCCTATGGGATGCAGGAAATCAGGAATCATTAGTGCTCTCATTGAATATGACGTTTTGGCATGAAGCACTGCAGGAGAAAGTGTGGATGTGTGTTTAGGCCAGTGGAGTCCAGTGCAGAGTATAGATTTACCATATGTTGGCTATCAAGACCAAACACACACAAGATTAGTGAATGGAAGCTTAAATGCATGTCCAAGACGGACAAATATCCTCATAATTGCCTATCATATCCGGAGTTCGTTCCGTTTTAGCAAATTGGTCACATTTAGGGGGGAAAAAAAGTTGCTAAGTTACACATTACGCATACAAATACAACCATCAATGAATGGTAATTGTGTGTGACCCTCTCTGCTTTCTGCAAGACAGAGAGTTAATGGGGAATGGAAAGTG